ACCCGATGAGACGCATCGCAGAGTCGTAAGGGAGTTTGGTGATGTAGTTGCCAAGCCACTCTCAGTGACATTTGAAAAGTCACGGCACTCAGGTGAAGCCCCTGGTGAATGGAAAAAAGGCAGCATCACACCCATTGTTAAGAAGGGAAGAAAGAATGATCCTGGGAACTACCGACATAGCAGTCTCACCTCTGTGCTGGGAAAGAGCACCGAGCAGATCCTCGTGGAAGTCGCGCTAAAGGCACACCGATGACAGGGAGGTGATACAGGAGAGCAGCATGGCTTCACCAAGGGCAAATCCTGCTTGACCAACCTAGCGGCTGCCTACAATGGTGTCACAGCATCAGCAGACAAGCGAAGAGCCACTGATGTCATCTACCAGGACTTCAGTAAGGCCTTTGACACAACATCCCGCAACATCCTTCTCTCCAAATTAGAAAGATACGGATCCAATGGGTGGGCTGTTCTGTGGACAGAGAACCATATGCAGGATCGAGTCCAGAGAGCGGCGGTCAGTGGCTCCATGTCCGAACGGCGATGGGTGACGAGCGGTGTCCCAAAGGGGTCCGTGCTGGGGCTGGGACTCTTCCATATCTTCATCAGTGACATCAGCGGCGGGGTCGAGCCACCCTCAGAAAATTTGCTGACAACACCAAGCTGTGGGGAGCAGCGACACTGCAGAGGGACGGGCCGCCAGCCAGAGGGACCCAGATGGGCGCGAGCAGCGGGCACAGACAAACCTCACCAGGCTCAACAAATCCAGGTGCAGCGTCTTGCACCTGGGACAAGAGAACCCCTGCTACCAATACGTGCTGGGGGATGAAAGGACTGAGCATAGGCCTGTCCCAAAACACCTGGGACAGCAAGCTGGATGTGAGCAGCAAAGCGCCCTCCCAGGCCAGAAAACCAACCGCATCCTGGGCTGCATCAAAAGATGCGTGGTCAGCAGGTGAAGAGAGGTGATCCTGCCCCTGTGCTCTACGCTGGTGAGACCTCACCTGCAGTGCTGTGTCTGGATGTGGATGTCCACAGTACAGGACAGACATGGGTCCAGATGGGGCCTGTCAATGGAATCCTGTAAATTATAAAGTTCTGTTGCAGTTGAGATCAGCCATTCAGTCAGAAGGGATATCGGGATCAGGGGTGCAGCTGCTGTTAGATACCATCGTGACGTCAGGACTGCTAATGTTTGACTGGCAGCAGACGGCCAGGATAGTCTTAACGCTGGCACAATGTACAGTGTGGGAGCAACAGGTGAGGACTCAGGCGGACGATTATTATATAAGCACAGATGGCTATTGCTAAAGACAGAATGGCTGCTAAGCCTTTGCCTGTATGGCACCAAATAATGGAGGGACTTAAACAAATTCGACAAAGAAGAATTTCTTCAGACTATTCCCCTTTGCCCTCCCTCCCCCCCCTGCCGCTGCCCACCGCTGCAGAAAGCAGCCCTGGTCCGGATTCAATCTGCAGCTCTGACCCCACCCCTGACCACAAAGAGGAGAAATTGCAACCTTCACCATCACTGCTGCCCTTGGCCCTGCCCTGACGCTCATCCTGCTCCTGCCTTCAGTTCCGTCCACGTCGCTCACCGTTCTCTCTCCCTCCACTCCACCCCCAAAGCTCGCTGCACCGTTCCCGCCCTCCGCCCTGTCCATGTCTCCTGCTGTAGCATCTCAGCAGCCCGCATGTCACTTGGTTGAAAACAATAATGGACCTGTAGGTACTTCTAAGGCTACATTAACTTTCCTCCAAGAATGGGGGGTTAGACATCTTACAGGCATTCCTCATTCTCCCACTGGACAAGCTATCATTGAGCATACTCATCTAACATTGAAATCTATTCTTAATAAACAAAAAGGGGAATATGGGAGACACCCCATGAGAAAGATTATGGACTGGCCCTACGTGGATTCCAGCACGATACGTTCGGCCTCATCTCAAGACAGAAAATAGCATCCAACCTTTATAATGACTGGGATTGTGTGCTTCTTATTTATTGGTATTGCTTTGTAACTTGTTATACTGCAAATAAGTAGCAGTAGTAGTGGTGTGATATAGTGGGTGATTTTCCTGTGTTATCAATATAGTCTCAAGAATTAGAGTTATTAGGCGTTATCTAGTTTGTTGTGTTCTTCTTTTATTTTAGTAGTAGATAGAATGTGAATTAAACAGTATTTAATGTTACCAGTGCTGTATTGTACGGGAATAGCTCTTTTGATGTATTAGTAACGCTCCAGTTACAATGCTGTCAACCTATCAATTAGTTTTTCTAGATTTGCAAAGACAAAACTGGGAAGAAGTCCTAAGCAAAGGCGCACGCTAAGAGAGCTAACCTTGATAGTTCATTATGTTTTGCAAGCAGGTGTTCCGCTTGGGCTCTGTATCACGCACTGGCCATGCAGATGCAGCGTACAAATGGAAAATACCTTTTGGACCCTGAGAAGAATAAAGCGGGAGAGAATCTGTGATGGGTGAGAGAGGAAAGTGCACCTTGAAGCAGGGGACGCCCTGCTGGCACTGCCTATCACATTCACCACCTCCATGTGTTTGTTCTTTTTATTAGTTTAACAGTACTTCTTGTCATCATGCTATGTTTGTCTTTCTAACATTTCGAGTATTGTCAACCGAGGCCTTGATTGAGCTATAATGATTATGTTATTAATATAATTAGTGTTACGATTCTGCACAACAACAGCTGTAGACAAGGACTAACCTTTTTCAACGGATCCAGCATATCTGCTCCTCAACGCACTATTTTTGTACTAATGACTATGAGAAATAACAGTAGAAAGTAGGGGACACGATAGCTTGGCATAGAGAGGGGGGAGATGTGGGCGGTGCTCAGTATGGGTGGTACGTGGGCTAAGGTGGGTGGCAGTTACAGGGGGGGGTTCTGGGTGGTGCTTAACAGGTCAGGGGCTCACGGGGCGGTCGCGTGTCGCGGTATACAGGCAGTTGTTGCACAGCACTAAATTCAGCACTTGAGCCACATCCTATGGCGTGCGTCTCTCATGTCCCTGTGCTGGGTGGGGGTGCAGACAGACGGGCGCTGATAAGGTGTTGTGGACTGGGCTGTAATTGCATGGGGGTCTGCAACAACAGGACAAGATTTCTCACCTGCTTGTCAAGCAACAACAAAGCACACAATCTCCTTTTGTGTCCCACAGCTCATTATTCCTTTATTTAAACCTCCTGTGTTGTCAGTCCTGGTTATGTTTTTGCATACCTACAGGGATGCTGAGAGAGAAACGACTGAGGTGCCACCAGCGGGGGGAGAACACTTCTTGGCAGCTTTTTGCCTTGTGTTTGACTACAGATACTTTAAAAAAAAAATGAAATGTTTAAAAACATAGTAAAAATTCTATCTGACTCTTAGCAAGTGGGTATAATGTTGGTGCTCGTGCTTTTCTGCATAGTGGGAGGTGTAATCCACTTAATGTCACACAGCAGACAACCTTTATGTTCACATCTGTTTTACACACAGCAGCAGCAGAGGTTCTCAGAGATGTTTGAGCCTCGTGTTTCATTTCTGAAGGAAGTTTTTTAATAATGAAGGGGAGAAATTGATCGGTGGATCCACAGAGGGGGGAAAACTAGCAGGTACATTGCAGGAATTCAGACAGGCAGACAGATGTCTGCAGCTCATGCAGGTAAAGCCTGCGTGTGGTAGACTCAAGTGGTGTTGAGGCTCCCATCAGTTCAGTTGTATTTCTCCAAACCACATAAATCTTTCTGTCTGTTGGAAAAGAAGGAAACTTCATTGTTAATAGCAGCTCTACAAAGGTACTATTAAGAAAAAAAAAGAGGGAAAAGTTATATTGGTAATTCAAAGTCGTTGCAGCCGCAGTCGCTCTCAATAATCCAGAGACTACATCTGAACAGCCTCTCGTTTCTCCCTGTGGTTCAGACTAAACTGTTCATTACAATTTTTTGTGCATTACTGAAAAAAAAAAAAAAAAAAAAGAGAGAGAGAAATGGTAGCTCTTCACATTCTGTAGCAAAAGACCTGAGTGGGGGGTAAACACAGGTTAAACCAAGTTCTTTAAATTGAAGGGCAGCTGCCCAAAAGCACACTGGAGCTCTGCATGGGTTCGTTTGGCCATATTCCCCATCATGTAAAGACAATTTGAGCCTTGTTTTTTTTCAACTCAGAGGTTTGCCAGGCAAATTGAACCTTAAAAACATAATTAGCCAGGGGCTGAACATTTAATCTTAAATTCTGAGTCTTGATTTAAACCTTAGGAGGGAAGTGTGCTGCAACTCCTTGCTCACAGAGATGGATGTGCTTTGTGGCTTTCGCTACCAGAGAGGAAAACAGCTCAAAGCCTCAAACACACACTGATTTTTGGCAAATTGGAGCCGTCAAGAACAAAGTGCCTGGGTGGGTGCTGGGGATAAATGAGGAAACCTTAAAAAAAGGTGGCTCCTGCCACTCCTCTGTGCATGTGCTGAAGTTTCCCCATCCCGTGCTTTGCCTCCCACCCTGCTGCTCCTCTGGGGAATAGGGGCCATTCTGAAGTCTAAGCTTACAGTAGATGTGAAGTAGAATGTCATGCTTTGGTTTGAGATTTGCTAGGCTTGAAGTCTTTCAGCTTTTATTACAATGTTCTATGAATTACTGAAAACCACTCTAGTGTGGTTGCATGTGTTTCAAATTATGTAAAATTGTAAATGTAATTACAGAATTCCAATATACCCTGAAGATGATCTCCAGTTTGGTCCATCTCTCGTTAGGTCTGTAATTTCTTACACCTCCTCTTGATAAAAATATTCTTCTAAGTATTTTTCAGTTTCCCATACCAGCAAGGTAAATAAATTTAAGACAGACTGTTATCACTAATAGAGAAAGCCATTAGTTCTAATGCCTATTCCAGACAGCTGAGCACACTGAGACAGAGCATTGGTCAAAAAGAGGTGTTTAAGGCTCTGCATAGGCCAGGCTCCACCCCTTCTGGTCACAGCTGAATTGCCTTCATCTGTGCTTCCTCACCTTACTCAGCGCTCGCCTCAGGTGATCAGTCAGAGGTTCGGGCCGTAGTCAATAGCTGCCATACATCTGGTTAAGTTACGGTTCTGGGAGAAGAACAAAATTAATAACATACCAATGTTATAGCAGTCCACTGCTATAAAATGTAACAAGGCAGGATCCACTCAAACCTGACAGCAGAAGGTGTAGAAATAAGGGAAAGAATCTTCTTTTCCCATTTTCTCCACAATAATCTTTCCAGCTGTAACACCAGCTGTAACATATGGGTACTGTGTTCTAGGTTTTCAGGGGCAGGGAGCAGAAGATTATTTCATTGCCAAGTTGGGGTCCTACCCAATTATCAGTGCCCATAATTTGGATCCTAATCAAGGAGGTGTCATGGTTCTATGTTTTTTTTTTTTGTTGTTCTTGTTTTTTTGTTTTTGGGCTTCAGTATTCCACATCAAAACATCATGCAGTGTACAGGGCATTAAAGTGCCCCAATTCCGAGTACCTATCCCTGTACATTACAGCAGTCACGGGATCTGGCCCTTCCGGGTGGGGGGGGCGCTCTCTTGCTGCCTGGCAGTGGGTGCTGGAGGGTGCTTTCCTAGCCGTTCCAAGCTTTTCAGGTTTGACTCGGTCCCGGGAACTCTCTCTCTCTCATCTTGTCTGATTTATTCATCTCAATTTCAATTAAATTGTATATATTGTGCTATCTTGTATTCCGATATTATAGTAAAGTAAGTTTTCCTCCATAGATTGTTGCCGCTGCTCTTTTCCTCCCTTCCTTCCTTCCCATTTTTTGTGGGACTGGGGTGTGGGGGGGAGGGCAGAGGCCTGTCGCCCCTGTCACGGACATCGATTGATCTGATCAACTCCGTGACAGGAGGCCATGTCAGTAGCATCTTCAGGGCACTGGGTCTGCTATCTCTGAGCTTTCATTCAGGTCTCACAGGGTTTCACAGTCTCTTTCTCCACCCCTGCATGGTCTGAGATCTGTCTTCAGAGCAGCCTTAGGACTATTATTAGAGCATTCACTAAGGCCTGCCCCTGTTGGACTATCTAGCAGGCGGAATCACTGCTCAAGCTGTTTTCTTCTGCCCGGTGTTGTGTCATTGTACCAGTGAAATGAGACCATTGATCACTCTCGATGACTTGAGGTGCTCCATAGGTGGCCATCAACTTGGTGAGTCCCTTGTCAGTATTTGCCTGGTTTGCTCTTGGCACTAGATAGGTCTGCATCAGCCCAATTGGTGTGTCAACACAGGTACAGATATATCTCTCCTTCTAGACTAAGGGAAGGGCCCAATGTAATCAACCTTCCATCGCTGGAGAGGATTGTGTCCTCTAGCAAGACGGGCTGCTGTTTCAGACAGCAGTCTCGGTCTCATCCTGAAGCAAGCACTGCAGTCTTGTCATGCCTGGATGGTATCAGGCAGTTGTATGGGCAGCTCCCACGCTTTAGCAGCTGTCTTTTGTCCTGCACGCTACAGCTTCTGATGTAACCAGCGGGTGATGTTCTCAGTCCTGCTGCATAAACTGACAATATTGTGTGCTATATAACTGTATTGTTTAGTCTTATCATCTACTGAATACACCGTGTATATCCAGAGACATTTTCTTTCCTCGTGTAATTAAATAAAAATTATTCGTTATTTCAGGTCCTACACTCCATGCAGATGGAGAAGATACACTAATTAATCACCATAACAGTGACATTTTTATGTTCAGTTAGTGAAAATAAATATTTACAAAATAGATTTATAAGAGCATTTTGCTCAGAGTATTATAGTTTAGTTATTTCAATGTATTTTCAAAATTTTACTTCCAGTACTTCTACTCTGCTGAAGAAGAGTAATTATTCCTAAAGTAATCTATTTTTGCTAGCAATAAATAAATAAATAAATAAATAGTTTAAAGATAGAAAAAAAATGAGAAGAAACTCAGCAAATACACTGCCAACATGACTGTAAAGTTCTGGTATTTAGCCAAGGGCTTTATAAAGTAGCTTTAGTGCTCAGATCAGTTCCTAAAAATAATAAAAATTGCTGGCAAAGTTTTTCACTTTAAAATAATTTGGGAAACAGAGAGTCCAGAAAAGCTGAGATTCACTCACTGCTGACAGGAAAATTAATTGCAATCACCTCATAAATATTGTACTCAAGACAAATCTCTCTTCTTAAGCGGAAATTAATGGAAAGCCATTACTCTCAGTCCTGACAAAGTAACACAGGTTCTGTTTGATGCAGATTCTGTAAGATCTCAGTAAACTGTGACTCTTATTAATAGTTATCTTTAGAAATGACTGTCAAAATCAAACTCAAGTCTTCCCAAGTGAGTCCTTAAAATCTGCAGGCTGACTCCAGGTAGCCCTGAGCTACACTCCCATTTCAGAGCCCCATTAGGAATGATAACTCCCTTTGAAATCTGTCCCAGCAGTTTCTTCAGTTCTGCTGGCTCAGAGGCTGTGACCCCATCACACTCATCTCCAACATTTTGCTCTAGATATGTTCTAAACAACTAATAATCAACAGACAGTGATATCTCTGTTTAAGTAAAGAGAAAGCAGGGCATCTACATACATGTAAAGTTGGCTGGGTTAACAGCTTCATGCCCTACAGAAAGAACAAGTGCTTGGTACTGCAGAAAGTGGTGTAGTTTCATTTCATACTAAGTCTACATTATGGAGCTAGCCAAAGCCTGCATAAACAAATACCTAAATAGTTTTATTTTTCTCATTCTTCTTTTCTCTCTTTATTGAGGTTAAAATTTACTCAGATAGTGAATGATTCGTTTTAAAATTATTGTGTAACATGTATCATTTCAGTCAAAAGTGGATATTTACTTGAACTAAATGGCTACAGCTGACCCAAATCTAAGCCTGTTTCTATTCATTTGGAATAAGAATAATTTCATCTGTCATTGTCATTGTCTGTCATTGTTATTGTCAAAACTAGTTCACATACAAATTCCCATGCAAAAAAAACCAAACAAGCAAACAAACAAACAAACAAAAAGACCTGGTTTGTTCAATTCTGATATAGTGTGTATATTTGTTCTCACAGCAGTTAACCAAATATAAAATACCCCTGTGAAAGCCCTCTTCACCTCTCTCTGACTAGATCTGTATGCAATGTTGTTACAGAAGCATGACCAGACAGACATGCTTAATCACTTTCATTAGTTCATCTCCCAACAGTGTTTTGGTTCAGATGCTGTGTTCTTGAAGATAGCTGAAACATGCTGAAGATATGAGCCTCCAATGCATTTATGGTCTGGATAAAAAGGTGTGTTTGTGCATCAAATATTGAGTAGATGTACCGTTCACACACAATCGTATACAAATGATTGCACAGTTGAGTCTCCATAGAATAAGCATCAACTGTTGGCCCAGCTGGGAAATATCAGTATGCAGCTCTGTTATAGTCTTGTTAAATGGAAGGAAGAAACAAGAGTCTCTTAAGCTCATGATGGAGACTGTTAGCCTTTCTTTGCTTGTTTTTGAATGATTAAGCCAACTCATTTGTATGAGGTGAGCAATTAATGTACTGCAACTTCACAACATTTAGAAATTGTGCCAGTGGATCTGTGTAATCCTACTCGCTACCTGTATTTACATGCAGTATTCAGTCTCTTTGGTGAGCTTTCCAATAAACAGTTCAGTTCACTTGTGAGCATTAATTTCCTCTACTTTGTATCTGAGGCTACAGTGTGACTACTACTAAGATCCAATTGAAGGAGTCTAGAGAGAATGTCTATTAATTTAATCTAATGAGGTATCTCCTATTCTCATTAGAGAAAATGACAATCCCAGGTATTCACACAGATTGAGGGAAGATGTCCTTGAGAGAAGCCCTGAGGAAAAAGACTTGGTGGATGAGAGCAGTGCCAGCAGTGTGCATTTGCAGCCTGGAAGCCAACTATGTTCTGGGCTGCATTAAAAGAGGAGTGGCCTGCAATAAGAGGGAGGTGATCGTCCCCCTCTGCTCGGCTCTTGTGAGGCCCCATCTGCAGTGCTGCATCCAGACCTGGGGCTCCAGTACAGGAAGGATGCGGAGCTCTTGGAGCCGGTTTAGAGGAGGCACTGAGATGAGCAGAGAGCTGGAGCAGCTCTGCTGTGAGAAGAGGTTAAGGGAACTGGGCTTGTTTAGCCTGGAGAACAGAAGGCTGCGGGGAGACCTCAAGTACTGGTCCCCAGTACTTGAAGGGAGCGTATAAACAGGAGGGGGAACGGCTGTTTGTGAGGGTAGATGGTGATAGGACAAGGGGAATGGTTTTAAACTGAGACAGGGGAGGTTTAGGTTGGATATGAGGAGGAAGTTTTTCACCCCGAGGGTGGTGAAGCACTGGAACAGGTTGCTCAAGGAGGCTGTGGAGGCCCCATCCCTGCGGGCATTCAAGGCCAGGCTGGACGTGGCTCTGGGCAGCCTGGGCTGCGGTGGCGCCTGCACATAGCAGGCGGTTGGAACTACATGAGCATTGTGCTCCTTTTCAACCCAGGCCGATCTGTGAAAATCAGGTAAGAGAACCTGTTGTTGTGTAGATGCCTACAATTCAGATATCTAAATTTAGAAAGAAAATAATATTCCACTCAGAAGGATTTGTTAAGAATTCAGATATCTCTGAATGGCAGATCTCAAGGAATAATTCCAGTCATAAACCTGCCAGACTTGGAGCTTCCCAAACAAACTAGTCATGTGCCCAAAAGTCTTGCCTGTATATTTATATTCTTGGGAAATCCTACAAAGACACATCATCTTCAGCCTCACGTGTCAGTCTCCAGCTCCACAGTCTGGTTATTGCATTAGGAAGACTTTGCAAAAGGTACTAAGTCTAACCTCTCAAAGCCAAGTGGAGCACAGTATCACCCTAATGTGACTCCCAACAATTTAGAGCAGAGTTAGCTCTTACCTAGCTAGCTCCAAGAGGTTCGTGCCTATGCTATGACTACCTAGGATCTGGAAAAAGGGTCTTTTCCCATCTCTATTTCCCAAGTATATTTGGCACAGTTGGTGTTGACCAACATGCTCATCATGCATCATTACTATCTGTGCTCTTTCCAAATTCTCTGCTGAGATTTTACCTAAAGTAGTAGCTACTATGCTCCAGAGCCTCTGATACACTTAGTACACCATTCCTCCTGTACAGAAAATTTGCTTTTTTATCATATCACAGAGTTGTTTTGGGATCTCAACTCATTCTTGCAAAATTCTGTCAGATAACTGGAAATGCAGATTCTTTAATTCACATTAAATAGCTTATGCCATATCCTACAGTACATCTCAGAATTAAACATCACACACTCTTACATATTTCAGTCAGAACACCTAAAGAGCTTAGTTCTTCTTGAATTCAGAAGTAATGGAAGGCTACAATATCCCTCATCCTCTCAAGTCATCTGAGAAGCAAAGAAGAATTTTTGCTTTCCCATCGAAACTAAGACACTGCAAACTCAAATCAGGATCTCTCAGTCTCTGAATGAGGAACCCTCATATCTTAAGTGATGACAGCTTACAAAAAACAATGTCCATCACTTACTGCATCATTATCTTTGAGCCCTGCTGCTTAGCAAAATTTGTACTTCACGTCAGCTTCAAAATCCAAGCAATTTATTAGACTGGGTACATACCTGCCACCAGGATCCACAGGTGACATTTAGATGTGCAGAGACACTACCACCTACACCAGAGAAAGAGAGGGATTATTCTAAGTTTCATTTCGTGAGGCAGAAGATTTCTGTGATCAACATATCGAAATTCCAGGCCAGCCTGAAACATAGAGAGTCTTCTCAATTCAAATGGGAATGCTACATAAAGGTTAAGTAAAGCTTATTTTCAAATCTCCTTTTAGTCTTAGAAGATTACAGATTCTAACCCCAGTCTTGTGTCTCCAAGAATGGGGCTGTCTGATACAGCCTGGTGAAACTCCTTGCTCAGACTCTGGTGTCCCATGGAACTACACGTTTTTGCATATCTTCGTGAATGCAAAAAAATCCCACATGCTACTGAAGTAAAGCTGGCTGACTTTGCTGGCTGCTTGGAAGGTCATCAATTCTCTTCCAACCTAAGCATCACTTGGTTTCAACCAGTATACTAATTCTAGGAAGGAAATGCACCAGTTATTTTCTTTCTAGCTTAATCTCTGCTTATTTTCCTCTGAGACTAAACCGTAACAGAAAATTAAATTCCAACTACAAAATGAGCCGGATTCTTAGTCCTAGGTATGATTTTCTTGGAAAAGCAGACTATTGGGAAAAGGTAGATTCACACAGTATTAAAAAAACTACTAAATCCCACTAACATAAAGTATAGGTGATGTCAAGGATCCAACAGTTACCATTCTGGCTCCCTATTAATGCACAGAGCAGTTAAAAACTGGGCACTGTGGCTGGTTTTTCCATTATGAACACTAGAATTGTTTCTGAAGACTTAGAGATAAATGCACCAAATTATTGAAATCTTTTTGCGCACGCAGTTTCAAACCATCTGCCCTCCTATCAACTATATAAAATAACAGTGCAATATCCTACTTCAGAGAAGACACACAAACACACAAAAAGATTAAACAACACCCTACCCCCCAGTTCATGCAAGAAAATCCCCTAATCTTTGAATCTTACATTTCTTATGCTCTTTGAAAAGTACACACTAGATTTTATTTTAAATGTGAACAGAATCCATGTAAGTATGACCTTTTTTAAAGAACTCAAAATGCACACCTACTAGCATGATGTATCAGCTTGAAAGTTTCTTCTCCATCTATTTCCTAGGCCAATCTTTGGAGGGCTCATGCCTTTAAGATGACTAGTTGATCAGTTGAACTTAGTTTGAAACAGACGTCAAGAACTCATAGGAAACACAGCAATAGCTGTTAAAGGAATAGGTTTGCAAAAAAAGCATGAATTTATTTTAATGCAGTTTCCAAATAAATATTTTGCTATTACATTTAAAATAAAATGAGAAGAAAACTTTATGCAAAATATCAGTAATTGGAAAATTATTTGATTTTAGCCACACAAAATGAGTCGATGAATCTGATGAATCTTTTGGTTCAAATGAATGATCATTTTTGTTTATTACAGGTTTTTGTGGACCAAAACATTTTAATACAGAAATCCTTAGAACACATTTCACACTTCTTTTACAAAGAGTGATTTTCCATTAGCATCCAGAGATTGAACGAATATATTTGGGAAAATACATACGAACTTACGACATTAATCGTAATTATACCATATAAGGTAATTTTTTTAAAAAGCCAGTGTTTTTACCCATTGTGAAAGGGTGTGAACACAAAACAGTGTATCTACACTTGTTATTTATGTACTTACATATAAACATTTTTAATATAGGGAGTGCTTTGATTCAGACCTGGTCATTAAACAGCAGACCAGAATCTTAAAAGAGAGAATCTAACTAGGATATGGAATATCATTCCTTTGACATTCCAGCTATTTGCCTGCTTACTGCATAATAAAATGAGCAATTACTTGTAACAGACTTTATTTGCTTATAATGGAAGGGCTTTTGACTAGAAGGTATTTTGTGAAATGAAAAAGAAATTATAATACAAACAAGAAATTTGTTTTATTTTGGGCATATGACATTTATTCAAATTGTTAATTGGGATACTTTTATAGAATAAGACTTCTGAGTAGATTTTTCTTCTCTTTCCTCCTATGTCTGTTCCAAGTTATGTTCAGACCTCTTCGATATCCATACTTCAATTCCCACACTCTTCACAGGACAAAAAACAAATCAAGTACAAAATTACCCTCTAAAAGGCTCCTCAATCAACATCACACCTTAATGTTTATTTGAAGGATGTCACTTGCACAGATTAAAGTGAGAGCAGGGAGTATATAGTGAATTCAAGTCATCAGCTATAATAATAATAAAAGAGAAAAATAAATAGTCTGGTATATGAAAGTTTCTTCCCTTATAATCAATCATTTTCCTCTCACAGACTTTCTGTAAAGTAAGATCTGTATCCTTCCAGAGTTTGTTTGTAAGCCATACAATCTCAGCTATGCTCAAATACATTCATTTCCTAAGCTATTTTATAACACAGCATTACTTTTTCCCATGTTGCAATGGACACATTAATTGTTCTTTGCCGAGACAGTATTTCCAGTTCTTGATAACGTTGTTTTGCACTGACTTCCAGAAGAGCTTGTCGCTTGGTTACACATCCACGTTCCGTTTCTTTGCCAATGGTCTTACATCTGCGTTACAAGGTTCACAGATGAAAACCACAAGAGTTCTGCACAGAAACTCAAGAGATAACACCTTACTCACGGATAATGCTACACCGTGTATATATACATTTACATACAGTTTTGCAAAACTTGGTTTACCAACTAGCTTTACCTATGGGAAAGTAACTTTACCTCTCTTGCAGCCAAGGGGCCCACTTACCTGTGGACTACCTTAATCCTGAGAAATGCCTGTGAATTCTATGGTTATGATACCCGACAACAGTGAAGTCTTTGCACCAGGAACACTGATGACCAACCTCAGAAGCACTGACTTTTGACAGAAGAAAGCAGTTGTTTGTTCACAGAAGCATAATCTCTGTCCCAGCATCTCACAGGTTCCATTTATGCAGATTTGAAATTTTCACGTGGTTTCTTTTTTCATCCTTCTTTCTTAGTTTGTTGGTTTTTTTCCTTGAAGAAGGAAATGCTAAAAATAAAGCCACTGGGAACAACTTACACTAGAATATCACTTCTCTTACTGCACCATACTACCAGCATTATCATGGCACATGTCAATATGACTGGAATCAAGATCAGAGTTACGAGAATTTCATCTGGCGGATCTTCCCAGTGAATGTTGTCCAAAGTACAGTTTGAAAAGTACTGTTTATGAATTCCAGTGATAAAGCTCTCTGCAAGGGGGTTTGGCCAGAAGCAACTTGCATTGTTGGCTTCACGTTCTGTGCACTGGGTAAAGTTATTATAATACCTAGGAAAAGAAGAAAATGAAGTTTCAATTGAACACATACGTATGTTATGCACACAGAAACAAAAAATGAGTGCTGTGTAGTCAGTGGTTTACAGGCTGGTTCAGCCTGCTTCTGTGACTAATGGGGCAGAGGGACCCATGAACCCATGCCCTGGGAAAGGGAAAAAGGGGAAAGGGTAGGGAGATGCGCCTAAAACCAAAACAGTGTCAGTGATCTGAGGAGGATAGCTAATTTACTAGAAAATATATCCACATGAAAGATAGCACGATATGATACAATATAATGCAATTCAATTGGAATTGAAGCTAAAAAATCAAATAAAATGAGAGAAACTGTCCAAAAACCAAAGAACTTACTCTACTGCCGAAAGTGAGATGAACACATGCACTGCTGGAATGAACAGAAAGGGAAAAAGAGACATCTCATGAGCTGCAAAGTTTTCATCTTTCTCTCTGAATGGGAAACAGAATTGCAAAGTCCCCTGGAGCATGTGGTTCTTCTCTCCTCAGAAGCAGGTACTCGGAAATCCTGACAGAACTGGAGCACTGACTCTTTAACTCCCAGTACACTACATGGTGTTATGATGTGGAGTACTGATAACAAAAACCGTGATGTATGGGAACTGCTGAATCAGAGCCTGAACCACTGATTGATCACCTGGGGAAAAGAACAGGGTCAGCCCTGCGACCACAGATGAAGGCAATTTGGCTGTGTGACTGGAAGGGGGGTTGAGCCTGGGTGCACCTCTCAGACCCCATTTAAGGGCTGATTGCAACTGAGTATCATATAAAGATGTGAACACAAATGAACCAAAAATTTTGAGCAAAATATGTATAATCAACACCTCATCCACCACTGGGCATGAGGCTTTGGCAACAGTGCAATACTGGAACTGAGACACAGCATGCATTACTGTGTAAAAACTTCAGTTCTGTTGCACTCCTAGGCAGCAAGAAGATTATGGGAGAATAAACACAAGGAAGTCCACTTTTAACAACCTTAGTCTTCAACAACCTTCTCAATTCCAGCAAATGCAGAAAAGGAAGTCTTCCCTATTTATGAATGTTCTCAATAGTCATTGAAGACTGGGAGTCCCTCATAATGATGAAAACCTTATTTCAACACAGCCAGTGCTGAAATTCATTTGGCTGTGGATCAGAAAAGTCAAACTCTCTTAAAAAAATGAGAAAAAAATAATAATTATAAGGAACAATAAGCCTAAATGAGTAATCAGATGGGTTTTGTGGTGTTATCACAAGCCAAAGAAAGTCAGGAAGTGAATGAATTACCGGGGAGGAGATTGGAAATTTAAATGGCAAAATTTCTGGTCAGTTCACGAATGGGGGAAGATATAGGAAGATGAATTATTCTCTTGTATTTTTATGTATATCTTTCAGTTCTATGTGATTGAAACTCACTTCCAATTTAAATAAACTTCTGATTAGTGACTCTTTCTTTCACTATATACCGCAGAGGACAAATGCAGATTCAATTCTTTCCTGTGAAGTAGTAGAGAGAGATTCAGTGTCTGGGTCAAGTCTGAAGACTGTCTCAAGCCTGTCTATCAGGAGAAATATCTGCTTGCCCATGCTACAAGAGAATGGGTTGGGAATACAGGCTGCAGTGTAATATTCTTAGAGCTGTGTTCCCAGGTTAAAAGGCTTCGCAGGAAGCTCCTTCTGCGACATTATTGCAGTTCTCATTCTTGGTGAGCTCGAGTTGATACCAGAATGATCTCACAAGTCCAATCTTTGATGCTCTGTCACACAGATGCATACATAAACAATGTATGTATATTTTAAGCAAAACAATGAGGAAGGAAGTTTTTGTGACAAGGTCAGCAGCCACAGTCAAAAACAGGAAACAAGCTTAAAATAAAACATGAATACTAGCTGTTTGCTGTTGTCACAGTGCCGTTCTTCTCTGCAACCCCACTACATTCATTCTCTTTGTCCTTGGACTAAATTAGAATCTAAAGCTGTCTAGTGAGTGTGGAAGAGACAGCCCCAGGAGACCTGAAGAAAAATACATCTGAGGGCATGTCTACCAGATCAACAGACTGCAGAGCTGAGGTGCCAGAGGTAGCACTGAACTGCCCAGAGGTCGGTGTTCTGTCTAGAACGGACGCCAGACCGGGCTCCTGAGTGAGTCAGGCTCTGCTCCAGCCCTGCTCTGTGCCATACTCTGGTGAGCAAGCTGTCCCACTAATGTTACTTCAGCACTTTGCTGCCACTTCAGTATACCTATCTGCTTGTGTGGAGTACAAATTATAAGGTCCTACAGAAAGCTCACTACGCCTTCAAGAGATGTTAGCTTTTTATGTAATGTTGGAAGGTATAACCAAAATATTTCCTGCCAATTTTGCATTTCAAGTCCAAACACAGCCAGAAAAGTCTGGTTAAACTGTACATATAAAAAATTATAGGGAGTTATATTGTATTGAAAGGATGGATCAAAATACAAATGTTATACTAAGTTTGAATTCCTCATAACTTTCCCTTTATCCCTTCAATCAAAACAAAGAAATTTGCTACTTTTCCTATGGAATTGTAATAACATAAGAAAAAACTCACCTGAGAACTATGTGTCTGGCAGGAAAGTTCAATTTACTCAAATATTGAGTCAGTTTAATATCTCAGAGCTTATGCACTTCAACAAGTATCACGTATTTTAACAAAAAAAATCTTCCATGTTGTACTGCGTAGCAACTGCTTTAGAAAGGAACAACTGAGTTCTAATTACAATGGCATGTGTCTTCTGGATTTGATCGTTCTGCAAAAGCTTTT